TCGGCCGGGGCCCCTCCAGCGCTGGGTGCCCCGGGCCAGACCTCAGCCCAGCGCCGGGCGGCTCTACTCTGACATGTCACCGCTCAGAATCATTTGGTGTCCCCAGAGACCTTTTATTTTTTATAAAAAGAAAAATAACATAAAGCTTCGTAAAACACAGAGCCCCTGGGGGTGGAACTGGATGGTCTTTAAGGTCCCTTCCAACCCAAAGCACTCTGATAGCCCTGCCATGACTTACCCCTGAAGAATGAGAACCAGGCGCGTTCTGATAGATGCAATAAATCTTATTGACTTTATTACATGTTGTATTTTAGAATCACTTTACATTCCTAGACAAAAAAAAAAAAAGAGATGATACAAATAAATATAAGCTGTAAAACTATGGACAGGACTATTGACAGGTTCTGTGTCTACAGATCACCTAAGAGAAGGTGGAGATGGGCGCATCTCCAAGGAGCTGGGAGTCCTCACAGGGACGGCTGTGCCGCAGGGAGAGCCTCGGGCACTCGTTCCATAAAGGAAGGGGATGAAGAAGGTAGTAAGGGCCTGGACCACAGAGTTAAACCCACCCCTGCAGCGCAGACAGGACCAGCGTTCTCATTTCACCTCCACCTCCACATCTCACGGGGATGGCTTTTGCAGGTGACCCTTCCCAGTCTGTGTTTTCACGCCCACGCTGACCCGTTCGGAGCCTGGTGCACGTGAACTGTCACAGACAAGAGAGGACAGACCCAGGTGTACAGTGTCCCGCTGAGCCTCGAGCACTCTGTGTTCACTGAAGGCAGCCTTACCACCCCGAAAAACCCACTGAACACCCGCCTGGTCTGATCTGTGTAAGGTATCGGCGCAGCCGAGGTGCTACGACAGAGGTATGTTACAGAAGAGTCAAGCAGCATGCAAGGAGTTTAAAAAGGCGCTAGACCTGTTAAGGATTTTAAGAAAGTGCTTTAATTCCTACGCTTCAGTGTCACACGGTGCTTGTGCCCAGAGCCACAGGCCCACTTCTGCTCCGTGACACTTTTGTTTTTAAAAAAAGATGCCATTATACAGATCAGAGCAAAGACGAGAGGATGTTAAACATTCCTGTGAAGAAACCATGACGGCGCACGCTGTCCCAGGGCCTCTTCCAGGAGGCGGCTGGATTTCCTGTCTTTGGCTGTTAACCTGCAGGAAGCCCAGATGGTTCGGATAACACACAGAAAGGGGCAAACTCGTCAGGAATGTTTCTTAAAAACTTCAACCCAAAGCTCGGCACGTTTTGTACAGCTTAAGACAATGTATTTTATCTTAATATCAGTGCCACTGAGTATCTGGTGGAGGGTAAGTCCACTGGAATGAGACTCTAAAAGCTTCTGTAACAATCTGAGGTTGCCTGTGAACACATTAACCAAGTCTCCAACCACAGCTCCAGTTTAAATACAATGACTAAATATGCACTTTTTATTCTTTATCCACCCTATGGAGTTTCTTTCACCTTACTAATGAATTTCTAAAGAATTAAAAGCAGAGCCTTTCTGACATATTAACCAGCTAGCTTATCAACACTAAAACGAGAACAGTTCGGGTTTGCACGGCGACTTCCACTGTACCAGTCCTGCCACACGGGGAGCTTCCAGTATATGAGTTTAATACAGAATTCCCTATGGAATAGTAGCGACTGAGGAAGAGTGTGCACGTGTGCAGACACAGATGTGTCTGTGTATGCAGCAGTCACATAAAATATACGTGTACATAGGCATGTACATATGGGTGGTTATATATTTTGTTGCTGTTTCATGTTTTCGACCCTCCTTGTTTCATTTCATTTCTTTGAGTGCTTACACCATACAATCATCTTTTAAAATGTCCAAGTGCAGGAGATTACGTGCTAGAGAGAAAGAGGGAGGAGAGGGAAGAGCCAGTGACATTATATTATGCAACAAGAGCCAATTACAAGGCTCTCTGTACATGAACAGTGTGTTGTGAAAAAGATTATGCCAGGTTTCCATGTGCAGGTTGAAAGAAATTTGTCAGATGCCTGCTCTCTCAATTATAAGCAAACTCCTCTTTCCTCCACCAAAACTAATATATATATATGCATATATGTGTATATATATATTAATCTTGTGGTCCAGAAAAGCACTCCATGAATCAAAGCAGCCGAGTTAGTGTTTCACTGGGCCCACCTGGGCAGCTGGCTCACCCAGGCACCATGCCCGCAAGATGCAGAGGTGAGCTGCGCCGAGTGTTTGGTTCCTTCTGCTCAGGGGAGCCAGAGAGAATGGAGTTCTCCAGCCTGGGTGAAGTTACTCAGCGGAGACTTAACGAGCACACAAGGCAGAGTCCACACATCAGAGCATTTCTAAAACCAGGCAAGTCCTCGTACACTCACACATGTCAGTCTGGAGGAAGTCATCAGTTAGGGAGAGGAAATGGGTAAAAACGTTCATAGGATGACAGCCAACAGCAGCCAGAAAAAGTAACATCCCAAGTCTCAATATACAGTGAACTAAAACTTACAAATGAGCTGTGAGACACTAGACAGGGACACCGTACTCTGTCCTCAGCATGGCAGTTCCACCTCCCTCTGCCCTGCCACACGCGCCCGCCGCATTACAGGAGCCTGCTTTAGTCATAGGGCAGCTTTGCAAAGAGACCGTCAAAAGCAGGAGTTCTTCCTCCCTTGTTTTCAAAGTAAAACCCCTGGAATTAATACCAGATTCCACTTCCCAGACTCTGTTACATGTCCTTTCATTCCCAGGGGACTCTGCACGGGCTGGGAGGTACAAAGGGAAAGTTTCTAACGTGGAACAGGTGAGGCACAAAAGGTACCGAATGCTGAACCTCAGACAGCCAGGGAAGGGACCAAGAAGAGCGCGCTCCAAGGCAGCTCCACGTTATGGCACTCTACCCTCTACCCAGCTTCCGGGGGAGAGCAGGGTCAGCCCTGTGAGCCTGCCTGGAAGAGAGCTCTGAGCCAGTGCTACATTTCCTGGGAACAGTGGGAGACGTGAGAAAATGGCCGTACGCCACCCCACAGTTTCAAGGCTTTGTAGGGACACTGGTTCAGATTGCCAGGGGCAACGATGGAGACAAGAGAGAGGAAGAAAACTGAGGAGCTGGCACTGGTGGGCAGATGGATTCTTTGACAAGGTGGTTCCTGTTGGTAGGGGTGAGGTCTGTAGGAGGTCAGTTCAGAGGAGCTCTTACTTATGCCTGTGAACAAGGAAAGGGCTTCAGTTTCTATTGCTTCCTTTCTAGAGAGCACAAAGTTGCTTTCAAGACCCCTTTTTTGTCCTACAGTTCTAAAGGGAGGCACAGCTACATGGTGGTGAGCATGTGCTGACTGCTGCCATCCTGCCTGTTCAGACCAACTTCTTAACCCCAAATGATGATGCCAGTCTTTCAAGCAGGACAAGGAAAAAGTATGCACCAAGTCAAGTTTGAACAGATCCTCTGCTTTTTAGCCTCATTTGGTTCTCACCATGGAGCTCGGGAGCGGTGGTTTTGTTGAGATGACTTTCAACTCTCGTCTTCTTATTGCCCAACAACAAAAAAGCCCAGTGCAGCAAAAGGGCCAGTGCAGAAGGAGAGACGGCGATGCTGTGAGGTGATCCCCATGCTTCCCATTGCTTCTAATACACTTTAACGTACCTCATGCATTTCTGATTTCCTAACTAAAATCTGTTTCCCACAGAGGCCAAAAACTGAATTGCAAGCACGTTATCTTCCTGTGGCTCAGTGCACCTGGACTGGCACCAGTCAGTTAAACAGCAAAGAGGCCATCTCCAGGGGAAAGGGGCTGGAGTCGGGCTGGGAGTTCTCTCTGCAGGTTTTTAGTTGTGTCTGTTCTCAGAAGGAAAAGGCTGTTCATGCCCCAAAGAGGAACTGATGGGTTTTATTTTGGAACCAGCCCTCGGGACTGTGGGTAGAGCTGAGAACTATGGGTGCCTGCTGAAGAGGATCCCCCTGATTTCCTTCCAGTTTTAGGCCTGAAGAAGTAAAAATGAAAAAAAAAAAATAAAATAAACAAAAAGCCCCAACAATGTCTCCTGCTATTCATCAAAATTAAACTTCCAAAAGCTGAATTTTTTCCCTGGATTTATTCTCTAATCAGTCTCAGCTTTCTCTTCTGCCCTATGTTCCTCTCTCTCTGCTTTACAACCAAGCTCTCCTTAACTTCACTGATGAGAAGTGCTGCCAGGCAGCAACTCTACCTGAACCTCTACTGTTGGCTAGCCTGCTTGCTAAAAGTCCTGCTTACTAAAAATCCAGCTCACCTGGGTTTTGATTTTTTATTTGAAGTGCTCTCAAAGGTTGAAGCGTCCAGCTGTATCTCATCTTCCTCCTGCAGAGCTGCTTCTAGAGCCGCCTGCACCTTGGGAGCAATGGCTGGACCTTCATAGTCTCTCGTCGTTCGGCTGGGCATGTCGAGTTCCAGTACTACGATATTCTCTGCCTGAGACAGTAAAAGCAGAACCAAAGTCTGCATGTTTTCATACAAATTGTGTCTGTTCCCTCCAGAAGCTAATTCTGAAATACTTTACAAATGTATGCAGGACACTGTAAAAAATTTACATTCTGTTGAAAAAGTAACAGTCCTCGAATTTCACATTCCACTGACCAGGAGGGTGAACACGTGAAGGTTGTAACCACGTCTGGGCTTACCCTGTACCGAGCCTCTGGACGAATCATCATGGATGTCCTGGCGTATTGGCTCAGTGGCCTTTTGTATCCTACAGCAGATATGGGTCTTTTCATCATCTGCTGGTTACTAGAGAAAAATGGATACTCAGTCAATTACACACCAAAACCAAAGACTCCTCTTGGAGTTTATGAGCTAAAACATCTGCAAATCCTACACAGAAATCTGTTTCATGAGAGCAGAAACTACCTTGGCTGCATTTGCAGAAGCAGCTCTCTCCAGTCAGACACGAGATGATATAATTATCCCGTGTCATCTGTTCCCTGCACCAAGGGCAGGATTTCCACATATTTTTACTAAGCAGACTGCAGATGCACTCAGCTGCACCCAACTTTCTGAATTCGCTGTAGAGAACTTCCCTGTGTAGAGAGGCAGCATCTAGCCACAGCTCTCATATCATAATGATTTTTGAGAGCTTTTCTATCTAAAACAGGAAAGAAATATGATAGGAATTTACTATTTTAATAGTGAATGCACTATTATTTATATTTTACATATAATTATTGGGCTCATCTAGCAGGAAAATCCTAATCTTCCAAGAATTTTCCTAACTGTACATTCCTAGTTTATTCAATCTATTAAAAGGAATTTTTTTTTTTATTATTTTATAGAGCAGCAAGAAGCTACAAACTGTGGAGGGACAGTTTAAATCCCCAGTGCAATCCCTCTTTTGGGGTACTCTAGTCACTCTTGACAACTAGAGGGTTTTTTGTGACCTAAAATTCCATCCCAAGAAAAGATGAGAGGTATACTCACTCCAGACGGGTTATGGGATGCAGTTTCCACTGGTCTTCCTCTTCATCAAAGAATGATCTGTTCATGATCTTATTCTTTTCTTCCAAGGGAATAAAATTTTCAATAATCAGGTGCCTACATGCAACCACAGAAATGGGAAATACACAAGAATCATAATTAGCAGATGACTTTCTCCACTGACTTAATACAGCCCTTTGAAAAGGAGGAATGTTTTAGTTTTCTGATGTTTAAATTTTGTTCTATAAGCATGTGCAGTGCAGTCCCTCCCTCTGCTCCCCACCCAAAGAAACCACCTCTATTACAGTTAACAGCAGGCAAGGAAGTGATGGGACTCACTTTAGCTTTAGTTCCCTGGTAAGCTCATTCTGGGTCTGTTCCAGGTCCTGGCGCTCCTTGATGTGCTCTTCTTGGAGATCATGGATCTCTGCCTTCACAGCCTGCAGCTTGGAAAACAACTGGAACACAACGAGAGCCAAAGTCACAACTTGCCAATGTTCCTTTCACTTTCACACACAAGTCGATTTTATTTCTAAATAAAATCACTCGACATGGAAATATTTTCTTTTCACCTTTTTGAGCTTTTTGGTCTTTATGTCCACCTCTTGCTGAAGAGAGCTGTAGGTCTCCTTCAGTTCTAGTGTTTCCTCATCCCGACTTTCCATCTGTTGCTGGATTTCTCGCTCCCGACGTTTCTGGAGAAGGTGACATACAATATTGAACACCACAATTACACTGTCACCTCCAGGCTGACACACCTGAAACCAGCCCTCAGGATGGTTTTACTTCCCTGCATTCCAGGGCTTTTGCTTTAGCTTCCAGTTCTTCCTTTGAAGAACTTGCCTTAGAAATACCAGAAGCATTAACTCTCCTTTGCCCTTATTTTGCTACTAAAATCAGATAGTGTGAATAAGTGCTCAAAGCTTCAATTAAAGGAATCAAATGTCATGTTTAGATTCTTTTTTTTTTTAAGTTTTTATCAAGTCATTCTAGTCATTGCACTTAAAGAATCACCAACAGAAAATGCATGACAGAAAATGAACTTTTAGCACTCAGTAAACATCCCTCCCTTGAGCTAATGGCTGAACTGTCATTCTCTGGGGTCTTCCAGTTATTTCTTCACTTACAGACAGATCCAATCAAGATGGGACACAAAGCTTTAATGTGAAAAGCTGGAAGAAAGCTGTTATAAACCTTCTCAATGTATTTCATGCAACGACAATTAGGACACAAGCCCTCCCCTCTTCTTTGGAGACTCATAATTGCCCCTAAACCAGTTTTAGGGTTAACCCTGGGAAATTTTTCTTATAGTTTCTCCTGATACAGCGTTTTATAGAAGTTCTGCAGCCAAGCTTCTTCTACAAAATAACAAACATTCTTCCTTGTACCTGTTCTGCAATTTCCTGTCGTTTCTGTTCCAGGATTTTCTGCTGTTCGTTTGTGTGATCCACAATATTTTTCCCCCCCACCAGCAGCTTGCTTTCCATTGTCTGGAAAGAAAAAAAGCAACATCAGAAGTTTCTCTCAGTGACCAAAGATTGTCACTTTCTCTCATATGGATATAATCTGATCAGGGCAGCTCCCTTATCTAACATCCTCTTTCAAGTCAGCTGCTACAGGAACTACTGTTTCTTAAAATCCTCTAGACCTGTGGGATTAATGAAGCAGCAACTTGCTTCGAATGCGGCACTGCTGCAACGCGTGGCAAAGCCCGAGAACCAAGCCACGTGCTCTGCTGTGCAGGAGTTGTTAACGATCTGTGGCAGAATGAAGCCCTTCCTGTGCTACAGCTTGTGAAAAGGTGTATCATCACGTTTTATTGTGCTGATGGCTTAAGATCCTACGAGATCAGCACAAAAGAACAATGAAACAACTCATGAATATTGAAATACGTGATTAATGGTGGAAATATCAACTTCTGTCTAGAAATAGTTTATTTTTAAATCTTCCAATCTAAACACAAATCAATATCCTGGAAACTTCTTGTGAAATATTTTTCCAAATTGGGAAACCCCCCATTTTCCCCACAGCCTCAATAAACTGCTTTCAAAAAGTAGGACAAGGAAGAATTCTACCTTGATTTTATCACTCAGCATCTCCGTTGCTGCCTTCTCTCGCCTCAGGTCCTCCATTTTCTTCTCCTTCTCCTTCAGCAGTCTCATCTTTTCTTCTGCTACCAAGCTGTGATCCTCAACTATTGCTTTCTTCTCAATCTCCAGCTTTTCTTGTTGCTCCCTCCAGTAGTCATCTTTGTCATCTCCTTCATCCTCACCCTCTTCAGTGTCCTCCTCCTCCTCCCCACCATCTCTTCTCCTCTCCCTCCTCTTTCTTTTGCCAATTGACCGTTTTTCCAGCTGTGCCTTGAGTCGAGCAATCTCCTCCTGGAATTCTCGTAGCAGAGCATCCTTGGGATCCTCGTTCACTCGCGGCTTGTTCTTGATGTTCTTGGCACGATTGGCGTATCTCAGCGTTGTCAGGGTCTCCTCTACGTTGTAAGAGGCAGGGCCTATGTTGGCCACCATCACAGTTTTGGCGTTGCCACCTAATGAGTCCTGAAGTAACCTGGTCAGCTTTGAGTCCCGGTATGGAATGTGTGTGCTCTTCCCATCTACTAGGGCAGAGATGACGTTGCCCAGCGCCGAGAGAGAGAGGTTGATTTTAGTAGCCTCCTTTAACCTTTCCCCCTGTGCTCCAGTCTTAGCCTGCCGCTCGCTGCCCGCAAGGTCCACCAGGTTGAGTTTCCCAACTCGGATGTGGTTCTCTCCATCGAGCCCTAACTCGCTGCACTCGATGGTGATCACAAAGATGGCGTGAGAGCGAGAGCTGTGCTCGTTCATGTTGGTGGCACCGACGGAGCGGTTTTGGTTCCCCACGTTCATCACGTGCTCAATCTCTTTGACGCTTTTTGTAACAAAGGAGGACAAATCCTTAACGTACACACCCGTGTCTGGTCTCTCCTTTAGCTCCAGCCGCTTGGACTGGTCCTTTAATAACAAGTCTCTGATTTCCTCTTGGTATATTTCCAAATAAGACGCTCTAACTAGGTATTGCTGATTCTGAGATCTAGAGATGTGGGTGAAGATGTGGTCGAATGAGTTGGGGATGACCCCTCTCTTCTCAGGATCATCACGCACCCCTTCCATCGTGTATGTTTTCCCTGTCCCAGTCTGCCCGTAGGCAAAGATGGTCCCATTAAACCCTTGCAGAACAGAGTCCACGAGAGGCCTGAAGGTCTCATCGTAGAGTTCAACCTGTTTGGAATTCCAGTCATACACAGCATCAAAGGTGAAAGTTTTAGGCAGTTCATGAGATGTTCCCCGCGGGTTCTTCACCGAGACCTGCCCTAACTTGACATCCACATTAACAACCTTCTCGTACGACGCCGTCTTCTCTTTGCTGTTCATCGGCCGGCATCGCACCACCACCCTGACAGACTCGGAGCTCTTTAGCTTAGACATGACAGCAGATCGATGGATGATCCCGCGCTAGAAACCTGAAACAGACAAAGCAGGAGCGTGTGAAGGCAGTTTTCTGCAGGTGGCAGTTTTCTGCAGGTGGCAGTTTTTCACAAAGCCAAAGATTCGACTCATGTGTTTTATCTGAGCAGCATTTTGCACTCGCTCAGTTCAATCAGCTTTTTCCTTTCTTTCTTTCTTTCTTTCTTTCTTTCTTTCTTTTTTAAATATCTTTCAGGAAGAGCTTTGAGATCCTTCTGCCAACTGGAACTAAATATAAAACTCATACAGCCTGGAAGCCCCAGGTAGCACTGGCACACTCCAGTCTGTCCTACTCAGGATGTTCTTCCTGCTCTGCTACCAGCTGGATCTGCAGCAACCCATGGATTTTGTCTCATTGTTTTTCACTTGATAATCACATGTCTCAGGAGAGCTCCTCAAACAAGGTGACAGAGAACTTCAGGAGCAGAGCTGGAGGACTGAGAAAGGAAACAGAATATTTCTAGCCCAAACTCCAGACTGTCAACCTGCACTACAAAGAACACAAGAGTAACAAATAAACAAGCTTAAGAATTGTACTGAAATCTCAAAATGGCCTTTGGAATTCCCTTGGTTTTGTGAGGGAAATCTCCTCGCCCCTGCTGTGGCCAGGAACGCGCAGAGCAGCTGCCAGGAGGATGATGAGGAACGTGCACTGAATTCACCAAGCTGGACAATCATCCAGAAGCAGCACAGTGAATTCAAACTGCTACTGGAATTTTGGATGGCTACTGAGTAAAAACATTTCCCTCCAAACTGGCAGCTCCAAACACAACAACCTCACTGCCCGACCCACCAGGAAGAGATGTTCTACAGCACCAACAGAGCATGTGACACGGGGACAAGTCTCACAGGAGCACAAAAAGCAACTGTCCCTCTAATCACCACGAGCAGCTGTGCACACAGACACGCTTCTCCTTCCAGCACCTGGGATGTTCTTGTAGTTCAGGTTCACAAGAGACATTTTCTTTCAGACCAGCTCAGCCAACAGCCGACGCTTCGCTCATCGGCATCACGACAGGGACGTTCACAGGACAGGGACGTTCACACTGGCAAACACCCAAACTAGAGTGACTTCTGAAAAGCAGAGCTGTCACTGACTCTGTGTATTTAATAACCTGAATACTACTCTGATGAGAAGTGCCACCTTGTAAGTGATGCTGCCCGATCAGAGCGAAGTGAATCCCCCTGAGGGCGTTTCCACACCAGCAGACGCTGCTGTCCCTGGGCTCACCCAGGAGGTGACAGTGAAGCCTCCAGCGTGTCCCCCCACAGCAGCTCTGGCAGAGGGACACTCCCAACAACAGTTACGTTCCATATCTGCTGTTCCTCTGGGTCTCGTTAAGGAGACTTTGATAATCCTTCCACACCTTTCCCCATTTCACTTGCAAGTCTCTTTTTACAGTGACAAATAACTAACTTTACTCCCAATTTGGGCTGTTTTCATAACAACCACAAATCACCTCCAGTTATTTTAGCTACTGCTGTGAAGTTGACTGGAAAAAAACAAACAGTGTTTCTTCCCAGAGTGACCCAAGTGTGCAACTGAACAATGAACCCAAGGGGTTGGCACAGTTGGTGTTTGTGTTCCCCTGGAACTCCACGGCAACGCTGGAGCTGCCCGGACAGGGATGGCCAGTGCTGGGGAGGCCACTGTGCCACCCGACCTCCTGCTGCGGGGAGGGGGCTTCCTGCATGAAATCATCACCCCGGCCAGGCCCTCAGAGTCCAGGTCACGGCTGAGGGACGTGTTTGGAGATGTGCTCCAGGTGACCAAGAGGGGAGGGCGGGCAGAAATCGAAGCATTTTTGTTTATTTCAGTTAACATGAGGTTGTGCCTGAAAAACCAGCAATGGCACAAGGTGCCGGGGAGCTCGGGTAACCCCTGTCCCAGCAACGCAGGAGGTGGGACCCGGGAGCTCGGCTGGGCTCTTACCGGGCACGTTCCCGAGGCCTCTCTGCTTCCTCCTTCGGTTAAATTCAAAGATCTCGGAGGTTTTCTTGTCACGCTTAAAAAAGATCTCGGAGGTTTTCTTGTCACGCTGCCCCAACCCCCCTCTGCACTCCCCAGGTACCACGTCCAAACCCCACTGCTGCCCGCAGCCTCCATCTCCCAAATAGCTGCGGGTTCATCATGTTTTGGGTTAATCGCTTCTCCCTTTCACTTCTCCATCACCAGCCGTCGCTCCCGTTGCCGTTCTCCTCTCACCTCCCCCTGCCCCGGGCACCGCAG